GAAGGTAGGTGTTTTTCACCAGCTTCCCTAAGAGAGGTGTGCGATATGCTATGCAAGGTCACCATGTTATTAATTACAGCTAAAATGTTATGTTATTAAATGTACCTAGATAAAGAATTTGCCTTCAATGCTAATTTCATTTATAACCTATTAAGATCATGTGCTTTTGGGCTCAGTAATTAATTTGGACATGGACAGACATTTGAATTTAATTATGGCCTAGTAATTAGAGATTCCGCCCCCGAAAACCAACATGATAATCCTACAAGCTGTTTCCTGAACAATTATTTCTCTGTGCAGAGCATTACTTTGGGTGTATGCACTGAATGTACAGTCGGGATTAGAGAGACACCAACTTGCTGCTTCTGTCATGACTGCTTAAATTCATTCATTGGTAAAAGAACTGATCAAATAATTCCTCAGTCTCCTGTTCAGTATGAGAATCATTCATTCATCCAGTTTAAATGAATTCTCATACTGAACAGGAGGCTAATATCAATTGGAATTAGGATACACCTTTAAAGAGGGAGTATTATGTAAAATTGACTTTAACATCATTTTCTATTGTTATTCCCTGATCCAAAACATATCTGGAGTGTTGCTTTGACTCTGTCATGCATGTCTGAGAAATACTAGTAATACTAATCTCCATGGTAACCATTCAGATGCAGACAATGAGCGGCATGTGGCCAAATAGCTCCGCCTTAGTCTCCTCTGATATGGGGGAATTTTTCTGCTACAATCCAAGAGCACACATGTTCAGTCTGAAAGCAAGATTGCATGTCTTTTGTTCTAAAAACTTTTAATACTTTTGCTTAAATTTTCATTTTGAAAGAAGGACTTCATGTCTTTCTTCTCAAAACTTGTAACACTTGTACTCAAAACTTCTCCTGGCGCTCGCACTGGGATTGAGATTGAAGACTTAAACTGCAAAGTTTTTGGTACTCACTAACTTGAATATACAAAGTACTGAAGTAAAACAGTTTGTCTTTACAAAAGTGAAGAATATTTGACTCCTGATCCAGATTGCGGTCAGCATGACTCTGTTTGGTACAATAAGTCTTGGTAATTCATCTGTGTTCGTTTAGATCCAGACTTTACTGAGGTGCTGATGTATAGTTTAGGATCCATGGGTGGAAAATCACTGAGAGAATGGTGAATGGTCAGGAGAATGGTGGCCCCAATAAAGATCAAAAAGGATCAAGGCCAAACCATCAAGATTCTGTTTCCTCCAGCCAAATAAGGGAGGTGACAGAGGACTCCAGGATTCCTGCAACCCTTTTTTATGGCTCTTGTGGCCTTTATTTGAAAGTAGTCTGACAGGAGAAGAAAATGAGAGAGAGAAGACATGCAACAAATGTCACCAGGTCAGGATTTGAACCAGCGACTACTGCCACCAGGACTAGAGTCTTCATACGTGAGTCATGGTTTGCCCCTGTGCCATCATAGCAACCCTCTTGCAACATATTTTTGAAAGTTGTTTTTAAGAAATGTGAGCATCTCAGGTCACAGAAAATAATTTAGATAGGTACAGCACTAACAATAAAAAAATAAAAGCATGTTGGAATATTAATACACATAAAAATATTTGTGTGATAATTGTGTTTGAGTATAACTCCAAGGTATTTGTCTGAAAAATTAAAGAGGTAGGTCAAAATCGCTGCAGAACATGTAAAGAGAGGAAAGAGTCCGGTACCATATAGAGCATTGACAGCTCACCTTTCAGGATGACTGAAGAAAGATACACCCAGAGTGATGTCAGGTCAGATTTTTGACCCTGGGCACCCAGGAGAACGTTGACTGAAGACAAGAGTTCACAGTTTTTACTTTATTACCCAATACCAGACTGTTGGGTACATTTATGGAGATCTATCATGTTAGTGATAGTATATATACTAATGCTTACATTTTAACTTAAAGTAGCATTTTAGCTAACTTTAATATAAATTTAACAAACTAAATGACTAAGCTGATGTCAGTCAGTCCATAGTGACATTATGCTAAAGTATGGTGGAGTTTGTGGTTGCATGTGAAGAAATGTAATGAATATTAATGCTTTTGTAAGGCAGTGAATGCTAAAACATTGGTTGCTTAGTTTACCAGTGTGAAAAAAAACATAGTCTTGATTTTGTTCCTCTTGAAAATGAGATCCAGATCTCAACAGGTTTTACCTGGTTAAACAAAGGAAATAAAATTCCTCTGAGTTTCACAGACAATTGGATTTTTGAGGCGACCCATGCCAATTAAATGTACAACAAGCTTCATTCCTAAAAGATACTCAGCCTGCACAGTCACAAACCAAGCTCCGCAGCCTTATAATACCTTCAGGTGAGCAGCTTAACTGGCCGGCCCAAATAATACGCCTGTCAGCATGACTTTCTAATCAATTCCCCCATCACGCCTCCTTTATCTCATAATGTTGGTCGTGATGAGCGCCGATTAACGGCGTAAACTTCCCTAATAGGTCAGCTGACAGATGTCTGCAGGAGTTGCATGGTACATACAGATGACAGGGGGGATGGATAAAGCAGTGTAAATCTGTTAACTTTTCCTTTCCCTGCAAACCTTGAGGCTCATAAATGGGGAAGGCATGAAGCTTGGACCCTCCAGGGATCCCATTAAATCCACACACATGGTGCATTTGGCCATTTTCTCCCACAATCAGCAAATTCCAAGCGATTCCCTCTAGTCACCAGCAGCCAATGTGCTGCCACTCATCAGAAACAGAGCACAAACGCTCGGCTCCATCCACTAAACTAAAACTGTATCTCTTTGAGGTCGTTCTAACTTTAACATGAAGTTTGGCGTTATCTCTCTCCCTGGAGGGCTATTGAGATTGTTCAGATTTGCTGATGGCCATTATTTTCTACGGTAACTGTCCTTCATGGTCTCAGGCTATCCCTGAACTTTAGTTGAGTTGTCTTAGATCAGACTGTTGGGAAGAAATCTTTTGTGTTTTTCTAACTTTTTTTTGCAGGGGCTGATGTAGAAATATTTACCTTTGGGGGCAAGAAAGTGAAGAATGTGAAAATTCCACCCCCTGGACGTAAATAGAGGTAACAGAAAGTCCACAAAACACTAAACTTTTTATTGCATCACCATCTGCATTTCAACAAATGTGTGCAGTCTGTTTCTGAATTATGGTGTTTCCATTATATAAGATATGAAATGAAAATCACATGTAAATAAGCTTGTTCTCACGATAAGACTTTAACAATCATGGCAGCGATGAAGGTAAACACTAACATGAGATAGGCTATATTCAAAAGTGCTTATTCAGGCATTAGAGCAATAAAATATATTGAAGTGTTAATTTAACTTCAGAGAAATTTTTTGGGTGAATTAATGTTTAATTTGAAGGCTCTAACGTTCTTTCGTACAAAAATGAATTTAGATTTTATAAGTAAGATTTTAAGGACAAACAACTGGAGGGGAATGAGGTGGAGCAAGGCTTTATTGTTGATGGCAGTTGTTCCCCTTTGTCCTCCTGATGTTTTGGCAGTAGTGGGCTTTATTCAACAGTAATCTGACAGGAAGGTGGGAAACACATGCAGCAAATCTCTTTCGATTCGATTCGATTTCGGCAGGGCAACGTCGAGATCTGTAACCTCTGCATGCAATGAGCATGCGCTAACCAGTGGACGGCGCACGCTAGAATGGAAGAACGCGTGGGTAGTGCCATAAGATTTGTGGTTCCTTCATGCTGAATTACTGTTAAATAAAGCCCACCAGCGCCGAAAACAGTTCCTTAAAAAATCTTCCTCTGGCACAAACCTTACATTTAGATTATGTAGATGGAGCAAAAATAAACATATAAGAATATGAATATTTAATCTGCAGCAGCCGTGTTAAGCCTTTTCAGAGGCATTGGAGACATTCAGCAGCCAACCTGCCTGGAGACTGAGTGCCAAGCTGCTGCCCAGATTTATTATTAAACAGGGAGGTTATTGGAGCTTCACAGATGCCATGTGTGATATATGATGTCTGGGCATTGCTTTAAAACGATGCATACTCCTGTCGATGGAATAGTAAAAACTCTGTTATACTCAGTAAATGGTACAAAGCTCCACAGCAGCCTCCAGTCTGAATCTATCTCACTAAAATACAGATGAATGTTTATTAGTACGCTGCAAAAACATTCACCTTAAAGAACCCAACACTTTTCCTGTTCTAACTGGATATTCCAATATATTTTTAGGGGTTTAATTAGACACAAAGTGTGAAGTGAAAGGAAATGAATGCTAGTAGAAATCTGTTAAAGTTTTCATCCCCTTTTACTCTGATAGCACAAAAACAGCAGCCATAACCTTAAAAGGATGGTAACATGTATTTTCCAGGGTCTTGGTGTCATTTTATAGCACAATGTAGTAATGAAAACATTGGATATAAGAGAAATTTGATGCCTTGAAATCGGGCCTCTGTTTCTTTGAGAAGCTCCTTCACTTTTTTGATCTGTTATCTTTTTTATGACATAATTACATTGAATTTACACAACAGAATGCTAATAATACTTTAGATTTTTTTTGTCATTATGTTGAAAACTAGGTTTTTATATCAGTTCCCTCTATATTCTTTTTGTATACGTTAAAGTGAAATGATGGTTATTTAAATATGACTACACGTTTCCTATTATAGACATTTATCAGAAATGTGCTCTTTTTTTAATGTGCATGTGTTTAAAAATGCATGTGTCTCCGAAATGTGTCTCCGATATGTTTTTGTAACTAAACTGAGGGTAAAAACTGCTCTTTGGGTTGTAAAGGTTTCAGACCCTGCACCTAGATGCACAATTTTTATGTTAAAACACGGCAGTGGCAGCATCATGCTGCGAGGATGCTGAATACAATTACTGAAGTTTTTAAACCCAAGTATTATTTTCTTTCCAGAATTAAACACTATTTTATTAGCTTTATTTTTGTGATGCCACAAAATGTGGGGCAAATGTTTAGCTGTGGTGTCAGAACCAAAAAAAAAAAAAAAAAAAAAAACACGTCATGACATGACAAATAAAAATGTATTTTTAACAACATTGTTAAATTTCCATAAACCATCCACAATAAACAACAACTAAAAAAAGAATTCTGCTGCTGGCTAAAAGCCATGATGCTGGTAGAAAATCATCCAGAAGGAATCCTTTAAATTAAAAAATAAGAAAAAATAAAAAAACAAGGCAGAGAAGTGACAATAAGCAGTGAATATGAGTTAATTAGATGCCAGCAGTGCCTCTCTCTGACTGTGTAGTTAGAACTCTGTCATCTTCTTGTGTGTGTCTGCCTTCTTGTGGTCCCTCTGGATGGATAGCTCATGTGCTTTCTGCTGGGCCAGCAGGCGGCGGGCCGCTGACAGCTTCTCTTCCAGCTGCTTCACTCTTGATGAATCCCTTTGCACAAACACAAACAACAAATAGATGTGAAGGCGGACGGGGGAGATGACAAGTCAGGTTGGTTTTAGCAGCACTGTTTCTTCACAAGATGTTCCCATCTTAGTTACAGTTCACATTGTTCCCACAGTTCTTGTTTGGGAATATGCATTTATTACTTCGACTTGTTTCAAAACGTTTTCTGAAATATAATAGAGCATTTTTTTCCCTTCCCAAAGGACTGGAAAATAATAAGATGGCAAATTAGGGCCATTGGAAATAGGGAAAAAAGAGGAGTGAATTTCAGCCAAAAAACTCAAAAATGGTGAAACTAATTTAAGAAGTTTTCAAGAAAAATACCTTGAAATGTTCATCTTGAAAAGTTACAAATTTGCCAGAGATAAAGATTTCAGAAGTTTGAAATTTTTGAGTTTTGAAACTCCTGAAAGTTTTTTCTAGAAAATTTCAGAATTTAATCTAATAATTTCTGAGTTTTTTCTATCAAATTCAGAAGCACATTTGTGTGTTACTGTGACTGAATACAGGGACAGTAACTTGAATCGGGCAGGGTTCTTATTGTTTTCTGATTTTACAGAAGCAGTTAGTGACTATATTCAGTACTGACCTGCCCATCTGTCTGCCGAGGGACTCGCTCAGTTTCTGGATCTCCCTCTGGGTCTGAGCCACCCTTTCTGCGGCCTGGAAGAGCTTCACATTCAGGCTCTTCTTGGTGCTTTTCCTGGCCCTGTAAGCCTCCACCCCGGTCACTTCCGCCACCCCAGCAGTAGCAGCAGAATCTGAGCTCTTGTCTCCCAGCTTGTGGTTTAAAAAATCAAACACGGTACGGTGGCCTCCGGTGGAGACTTTCGGCTTTCTGCGGCGCTTTTGCCGGCTGGTTTGGGCGCCACCTTGAGCAGCCATGCTGTGGGTACGCCTCTGTGTCAGCTTGGCACACTCATCCAGAGACGTTCCTTGGGCAGGACCACGGCCATCACCGGCTCCACCCGACCCTCCTGCAGCTTCCCTAGGCCTGGGAGGCAAAAAAAAGCTCTGAAATATTTTTTCTGTGTGTGTATTTGTGTTTAAAAAGAATCAGCACCAGCACAGTTTTGAAATAATTATAGAATTAGTTAATATTTTCATTAATATTTCAACTTTTCTATATGAAGTTGATCAGCGAGTTTTTCTCACCTTTTCCAAACTCGTAGCCCATTTTGAGCAATAGTTTGGATCCAATGCCTCTGGTATGAGCCTCCCAGCCCCCGAAGTTAGCACTGCTCACTGCTTTAGATGATTCTGTGGTAGAGTCGAGAACTGCCAAAAAATAACAGAAAAGGAAAGGTTGAAGCAAACATTGACAGGTTCAATTTAAATAGTATATTTGGTCTATACGTAATTGGCTTTATGAACCTTTAGCATATCCCACTGCATCTTCATCTCCAGCGTCATCTGAAACAGAGTCAGAGGAGAGCGGGTCGTCTTCCCTGAGGGGGGGGATGACCCCGTCGGCCTCGACGACAGCGTCTTTCATCAGCGAGTCGAACTTTACAGTGAAGAAACCACTGTCAATTTCTGACAGGAGAGAAAACATTACAGATCAATAATATAACATTATCTATGTGATACATAACTTTCATAAAACGTTTATTTTTCACATATTTGTTGTAACTGTTACGGTCCTCACAGTACAATATGAGACAGAGAATCTGTGAGAATAATCATCCTTCTTTGGCTCCTCCTAGTGGTCAAACTGCCTTCAGCAGAAAGATGGTCCCGGTCAGAATTAACCAATCAGAGCCAGGAGGCAGGACTTAGAAGTGTCAATCACACTCTGTGTTGCCAGATTGAGCTTCAGTTGAATATGTTCGGCTGGAAAAAACAACTCTGGGACAGGTTGTTAAAATTTGGGCTGCTTCTCAGAACATTTGGCAAGTTCATAGTAAAATTCTATCGACATATTTGTGGCTGTGTGGCAGAAAAGCACAAAACCTATGTACTGTAATAAAATTCCACGTTATTACACTCATTTCAGTAGTCCATTTATTTTGAAATGTTGAGAAAAGTGTGCCCAAAGTCAGTCCTCGAGAGCAGGCATCCTGCGTGTTTTAGTTCTCTCCCTAGTGGTAGTAACAACCTCCTCAGCAAGTCAATGTTCTCCTTAGGCCTTCTAACAACATTAGAAGGCCTAATGTTCTCCTTAGAGAACATTAGGCATAATGACCCATAATGTTATTGTTATGCATCAAATGCATAACAATAACATTTATGATAATTTGATGCAGGTGTGCTAAACTAGGAAGAGAACATGCAGGAAGCCGGCTCTCAAGGACCGACTTTGGGCACCCCCGGTCTAGAATCTGCTGAACTAGTTACACTGAATCAAGTGTTTGATCAAGTGTCACTGTGTAAAACAAAATAATTTAAAAAATAAAAAATAAATACCAGTGCAGCTTCAGGATTTAGAAGTCCATGAGTCAAGTGTTTTTTTTTGTTGTTGTTGTTTTTTTGTGTTTCATTTATTATGTATCAACAGCAAAGAATTACCTTTTATCCTGGCCGGGTACCAGATGCCATCCTCATGTCGAGCCAAGCAGGCAGAACCTTCTTCAAGGTTACTGAGGTCGCAGTCCAAGAACTCACGGAGCTCGGACACATACACCACCTCCCCATGGGAAAACCTTCATCAGAAAACACCAGAGAAATGGAGGTCATAGAAAAACTAATTCACTGAGGCTCCTGATCAAACTCAGATTTAGGGAACAGGTTGGAATGGGGACAGAGAGTCAGACACCATTTATCTACAGGCAGATTTCTTTCTTTATAGTTTCCTTTCAGAGATGCCCATCTCATCAGATGAAAATCAGTTTAAATCCAATTCATCCAGAGATGAAATAATTTTGTTCTGGATTTTAGGCAAATAAAATATTTTTGGTCTAATCTTGTCCCAGAGGCTATCTGGTGAATTAATAGGGTTGAATAGTTTGATACAGCACTACAGCTATTTTAGAAAGAAAAATAATGAGTAAATGAGTAAACTCAGAAATTTTTAGATACATCTAAATAAATTTTAAAAAATAAAACATGGACATTTAAAAGTTTGAAAAGATGAGGATTTGCTAGAAAAGACTCAGTGATTTTGAGATTAATTTTGGAAATTTTCTAGAAAAAATTTGGAAATTTCTGAGTTTCAGAAGTCCAATTTTATTCAGAATGGTTGAATTAAGAAAATTTGTTCACATAAAATTAACTTTAAAACAGGTCGCTAAAGGTTTTACCTGCAGTTGTCCTGAAAGCGACATTTGTCCTCCAGGTAGAAAGGACATGGCTTCATGGATTTCTGGGTGGGGTAGACGAAAAGCACTCGGACCTGCGCCTCGTTTCCCTCTGGCGGCTCTGCCCCGACCACCATGGCGTTGTGGTACTCCAGCGTCCCCCAGGAAGTCCTGTAGGGGGCTCTCACCTTGGTACCGCTAAGTGCATCCTCTCCCTCTTCGTCTTCCTCTTCTCCATCTCCCTTTCTGCCTTCCTCGTCCTTCTCTCTGGAGTCGGAGCCGCTGCCTGAACATTCTCCCAGATCCGAGTAAAAAGCAGCGAACTCTGCGCTCAAGTTCTCATCTAACCTGGTGGTGTCAGCCGCCACTTTGCAGGTGTTCCCATGCGGCTCAGTAATGTCCTCTAAGCTGGCCAGCAGCCGGCTCTTTTTGACAGACACCAGACTGGCCTCTGTGAGTTCTATCAGCTGACAGAGGTCCTCCTTCAGTTTGAGCAGGTCTGGCTGCTGGCTGGGGTCCAGGCCTGCAGACAAGGCTGTCTCCACCTGTTGCAGCTGAGCACCATAGGCGGCGATGGCGGCATCCAGGGTCGCTTCATCCATGCCTACAGCTTGGCACCAGGACGGGCAGGAGAGGTCAGCATCAAACTGTGCCGACTGCAGAAGACGATGGAGGTTTAGAGATGATTTAGACAGGATCACGAACAGGATGTAGGATAGACATGTATCATATTGTTTATGATGTATCTGGAACATTCCTTATAAGAATTTTGATTTGTCTTGACCAGGGGTCCCCAAAGTCGGTCCTCGAGGGCCGGCATCGAGGATGCATGTTTTAGTTCTCTCCTTGGAGGTAGTTAGAATGTCAATGTTCTTCTTAGGCCTCTAACGAGCCATCATTTTGATCCATTAAAGGTGCATTAAATCAGGTGGAGAACTAAAACATGCAGAATGCCAGCCCTCAAGGACTGACTTTGGGGACCCCTGGTCTTGACATTAACATTAATGTTGTTAAAAACAAAACTGACATTATTGGAAATGTTATTATTTTTACTGTTTTCTCAATTATTCCCTTCACATCTTTTTGGTGTAAAGATGTACATCCAAAAGGTGTACGTCCTCCAGTTTTACATCTTTTCACTGCCAGTAAGGGGTCGGGTTAGTCTCATCTAAGGAGACATGCTTTAGATGAGACTAAATTTATTAATTTATTCACAGTTCTGACTGTGAATAAATTAAGCTCACTTACTGTGCCATAAAGTAAGCTACAGTCAAACGTTTTTACTATTGCAGACAAGAGACTGAAACCAATTGAGATGTCGTTTTAACTGCTAGCCGTGTTTCGGGTTAGACTGGACCAATACTATCTATAGAAGCACATTTATTCATTTATTACCTCAGTAAGTAGTCGGCTTCTCTGTCATCAGCTCTGGCTCCGGTAAAAGCAACAGTAACATGATGATTATTTTAATAAACACACAGTCAGGTAAAAAAGCTCTGGACAGGACAGACCGGGGTCAGTTTAGGAAAAATGAGCAAAGGCTGTACTTCCGTTCAAACTGCTGTTCTTTCACAATAAAATAAAGCCGTCGCGTTCCCTAGACAGTTACAGCCATTGGAAAGGTAAAAACTGAGTTAATTGCTTTTAAACAATTGGCACACGGGCCTGTTCTATTTCAAATGTGAACTTTATTATTGAAGCTCTTTAATTTAAAAATTAAATAAAACTCTAGCGGTCATTAGGCAAGAGGCACAGTACACCCTGAACTAAGACAAAACAGATAAACACAAGACCAACAGTCAAGCATACACACACCTCAAACCAATAAAGACAAGTCATGTTTTTGGACATTTTGGAAGAAGCTGGAGTACCTGGAGAGAACACATGCAAACAGATAGAGAATGAGTTCAGGTCAGGATTAGAGCTCAAATATTTGCTGCAAAACAACAGTATTACCAATTACCGTTGAGTCGGAATAATAATATTGATTGGGTCTGAACTGAACTTGTGTATCTTGGGAATTGCCTTTAGATGACATTTGTTTTAAATTAGCTTCTTGTTAACATTTGTCGTGGAGGTAAAGCGAGTACAGTTTAATCATTATCTAATTGTGAATTTGTGTTTTATCAATAAACTAACATGCAAAGAACTCCAAACTGAGTGGGTCACAGGTCAGTCAAGCAGTGCAGTCCAAGAATTAAATAGAAGAGTATCTAAATTAAGGCCTCCTCTGCAGTAGTAAATTAGCTGCCTAAATCCGAATAAGCCTAAGAAATACATTTAGGAAAATTTCTATAATTTGGGCTGTGATTTGCATAACAGTGATTGGGAGTAGATGGAGTGTCCGTCCAGGAAAACTGTAGTTGTTCCTGGACCAGTAAGTGGAAGGCAATGGATGGCTGGTTGGAAATGAGTTCCTTTGTGCTCAAATCTAAATGAAACCATAAGGTAAATCAACAATCAGAAATCTGTTTTTTAAATGCATTTTTAAATGTAATTATATTCTAATAATATATACTGCATACATTTTTCTATTATATTCTGTTGTTGTAGTTTATAACATAGACGTAATAAAGAGTTAGTAAAGATACTTTGTTATATCTGTTTGTACTGAAAGGATCTAATTCTGAAAAGAACCGGAAATTATTACTTACCGTCACAAATGTGCGTCACTGACGCAGAATGATGTCGGAGACTTCATCGAATACAGCGGTGACTTTGTTGGGTCGATATGTTTTTCTGTCTTTCTTTGTTTTGTTTTTTGTTTTGTACTGTAGTTTAATTTTCTCAGTGACGTCTCAACGGCAAGTCCTAACTGTTGCTGGCATGAAGGTAGGATGTTATTTTCCACTGTGTCTCTATAGTATTGAAGCTGTTTAGCCTAGTTTTATCACTGAGGTTGGACATCACATTTTACTAACACCATTTTGTCAGTAGGTAAAGAGGATGGATGTACGACGGCGTGATGGGGTCATTATAAATAGAACATTTAAAAAAATGCTTTTTCTAGAAATTTTCTAGAAAAAACATGGACGTTTGAGTTTAAGTTTAAGAAGTCGAAAATGTTTGACTTTCGAAACAAATTTTGTATTTGTGGCTTTCTTTCTGCAGACAGCAAGCACAGTAAACATGCAGCGTGACTTCGACTGATAATTTCTCCATACTGTACAAGAATATAGCAATAATATAACATCTGCTTCTAATACTATACCGTTATCAGAAGTCGAAAACTCAAAGTCAAATTTGTATATTGGAGCAATAGAAACGCTGATTACTGAATGCAATGTACAGAACTTGAACCAGTTACTTAAAATATTTGTATTATTGGAATTAAACCAGAATTAAAGATGAGTAATTACCATACACATAAATCTGTTTATTACCATTGGATCCAACCCTTCACTGTCTGACTCTTCCTCTCAAGTAATGTTGAAGTCATTCTTTTTTATAAACTATATGGCTCAAATAAATGTGTGGCAGTCCTTCAGTAGAACTAGTTTTCTTGTCTTCATAACTCCAACTGGCTTCTTCTCCCAAAACAGCAGATAAATCGCTTCCTCCACTTCTTTGTATTTAAAATTTGGTTTGACTTACTCTCATTACATCACAAGATGTGTTTGATTCTGTGTGTTTTGATTAAAACAGCACAAGGAAGTTTATTGTAGTTTGTGAGAAATATTTATTATTAAAAGCTTTTATGAAAGCACAGTAGTTAATCTTTTTTAATTATATATGTAATTTTATAGTATCAGTGTGACTTTAACCTGAAGAACACATTCATTAAAGTACAGCCGATGTAACAGTACTGAAGGTGTTACATCGGCTGCCTGTGCTCTCTTACAGAAGTGGCTCTTGCTGTGATGCCTCCAGCCATGTCTCAGATTAATGACCCGAAGATTGCCTTCGCTTATCTGCGCCCAGCCTGCGTCCTGCTCACCAAGGAGCCCACTGTGACCAATGTGGAGTCGTTGAGCGAGCAGCTGAAAGACATCGATGATGCCTCGCTGCAGCAGCTGCAAGAGTATGTGCTCTTCCCCTTGCGCTTCGTCCTCAAAGTCCCGGGACAGAAGAAGGAAAAGATGGTGCAGTGTGTGGCCGAGACAATGAGCCACGTTCTGGAGAGAACTTGTGTCCGGAGCTGGGACATGCTACGTGAAGTCTTCTCTGAGCTCTGCTTCTGCCTCTGCTCCCCCACGGACCCGGGCCAACCTGCAGATACGTCAGAAGAGCTGAAATCTGCTGTGCTGCAGTGCCTGGATGCTCTGCTCCACGCCGCTTATGGCGACGTAGTGTTCAGACTGTACGAACCCTCGATGCTGCCCGGATTGGGTGCTGCCGTGTCGCTGCTGTTGGCTTTAGGAGAGAAGGACAAATCCAGAGAGATTCAGACGGCGGCCTTGAAGTGCCTCCAGGCTTTGATTCTGCATTGCGACTGCAACCAGGAGCATGTTGCCCCATTGTGGGATGAGCGATGTTCTGTAGGCAGCACGATGGCTTCCTTCTTACCTGGGGTCACTTCGGCTGCAGCAAGGATCATCACTGGAGATCTGAGGCAAGGCCATGCGGTTACTGTCAGGGCCTTAAAGGTAAAAACACTGCAGATGCATCTTTGCTACAAATAATTAAGCATTTGCTAAAAGAATGACATTGGATTTTAGGCAATACAACATTTAATTCATTATTTCAAAATTGGAACTCAACTATTGGTTCATTTTCTTTTGTATTTCTAATATTGCATAAAAAACTGGAGAATGCGTTCATTTTTAAAATTTCTTTAATTGTCAGAATAATTGATAGAATAAGTCATTCCTAAAATAATGATTAGTAATATTATTCACATTATATTATGTTACAGTGCAAACTTTAATGCATTTTACTTGGAATTCATGACATAGACTAAGACAAAGTAGCACTGCAGTTAACAGTTATTTTACCAATCAGTGATTCTGACGATTAATCAAGTAATCTGATATTTCCATGTAGTATTTTGCATTGCTCACGAATCACAATAATGTGCAAAGAAAATAATAAAACAAACTGTGAATAGTTTAAGGAAAATAATATTCCTGCTCTGGTTCAGGTGTGGTCTGGGTGTGTGGTTCTGGTCATGGAAGACGCCCAGCTGCAGCGCAGTGAGTCCTGCAGCACCGTGTTGCCAGAGATGGGGAGGATCGGCCAGCTGGTGGTGCAGCGAACGAAAGACTGGGTGAAGGCATCGGCGAGGAAGCTGTGTGTGCTGCTGAGGAGGATCATTTCCTGCTCCTCTGCCCACCAGCACTGGAGAGTGAGGCTGGAGACGGTGGAGCTGGCCGACCGTCTGCTGGCAGCGTGCGGTCAGTCGCTGAAAGAGTGCCTGGGTCCACTGCTAGAAGCTCTGGTGGGAGCGATCAACGACGAAGACCCCAGAGTCAGACAGAGGTTTGTTGTAGTGTTTTTTACTGAGTGGAAAAAGAATGAGAATGGCCCGACTTGATGTCTTCTTGTTCAGGTGTGAGGTCGCTCTGAGAGATGTGTCCCTAAGGAGTCAGAGTGCTCCTAGCAGTAAGAATCTGACTGACGTCCTGTCTGAGAATCTCCATTCGTTAGCCACCTCCCTCCCCCGGCTGATGAGGACTGCCGATGACCAGAAGAAACTGTTTGTCCTCAGCGTGTTGCTTGGTTACCTGAAAGTCCTGGGACCGCTTGTCTCTGTGGTTCTAAACTCTGCTGCACACCTGGACAGGATCTCTAAAGCATTGATGCAGGTAACAATTTGGTTTAATATTTTAATACTCTTCAGAATTGAACTATGTGGAGATGATGCAAGGGGGAAGTCTTTGATTTGGTTAAAATCTTTGGTGCACAACTAATTGATCAGACCAAGTTGTTGTTTTTCAAGTCACAAATAAGACCCAAGTCTTTCCACTCCAATCCTGGGTGTCCCCGCATCCTTAAAAAGTCTTAAATTCATGTACCTATGATTAAGGCCTTAAAATAAATAAGACAAAATGTAAATTAGCCTTAAATATGCTAATCATAGGTCTTAAAACTAGTTGTGGTTGGACTATTAACTATTTTTCCTCACTGAACTTTTCAAGAATTTTATTTATGCTAAATGTTTCAAATGTCTAGCTTAAAATCTGTTTTCTGTGTATGGTTGTAATGAAAATATCAAGCAGTAACTTGGGTCTTTCTTTGTTCATGTTGTTTCTTTGCTCTTGACTCACATTTTCTGAAATGTTATTTTACATTATACAACATTCCATTTTGTTTTTATCGCCTCTCAGCTGCATCAGATTTGGTCTTTTTAATCAACTTTGCAAGTTTACCCAATTACAGAAAGAAAATTAGTATGGAAAGAATTTTGATTATTCAACAATTATTCATTTAGTTTTAGAAACATGTTGCATTTATTACATTGGAACAATAAAATAAGAATAACCTAAATGTCCAAAATGGAAAGCATTTAATTAAGTTTAATACTAATTGTGTCTGTTGTTGAATGGATTGTTTCTGTGATCATTTGAACTGAAATTGAGACTGAAGA